TAACGCCCCCACGGCTGAAAGGGCGAGCATGTTTGGTGTGACCGGGATACTTATTAACAGCTTGTTTAGTTTTTGGTTTTGGTTTAGTAATTAAGCCTTCTGGGTGGTTTTTCAAGATAATGTGTCAAAATGTTTAGTTGCAACTATAAGAAATTTCATACACATAGTCTTATCAACAAGAATAGACTTAAGGAAAACCGTAAAAAAAAACGCTTACTAAAGTATCACAAACTAACACTGCAAATATATATATGATTTCTGGTTCTCAAATAACATTTAAATAAATAACTAATCTTACTTGAAGTTATATGCATATATATATATAATCACATACATCTAGTTATTACAAATCCACTGATATGGCTACCGATAAGACAATGTCCCCCTGGTGTTAATAACATATGCTTGGAATATTATATCTAAAAAAGTATAAGCCTGTGTTGTAATATAACTGTTTTTAACAAAGGTGGTGTGTTCGGACAAGACCAACAAGTAGCGATGATATAATTGAAGAGGGTATGGTTCCATCTAGTTATCTGGAAAAGAAGGTTACAGCCATCAAAGAAAGTTATTCGAAAACTGAAATCACCGAAACGAAGCTAGATGATAAAGAAAAGGAAGCAATCACGAAGAGAGAGTAAGTTCTATAACATTTTTTATCTGAAGCTAAAACGTTTAATATTCGTAATTAATTTACAGCAGATTATTTTAATAACCCGTAAAATCTTAGATACTCGTGAATTTAATACCAAGTCAAAAGACCAGTACACCAAACCAAAGAGTTGTATATGTGAATAAAGTTAAAATAATTTCATAATGTACAGGGTGTACTTCGATAAAACAATTCCTACAGAACTGTTTAAAACTCCTAAATAAAATTAAGATAAAACAATTGTGAATGAAGACGTATTTTGGGACTAATTGTGTGATTTATGTGTTGCATAGTAACTGCTTATGTAATCTAAAATTGTGCTTACCTTTTCTTTCCTATCCAAGTGTTCTGTTCCTAACAAGTCTGTTTTTTCAGTCTTCTTCCAGCTATACCCATTTGTCAACGACATTAAAAAACACGAACTACCACAATAAAGCGCAAAATGGTTCAGTTGGTTGATAAAAAACTAAATATAGTGGTCAAAGACTTAATATGTTTCAATGAAGTTCAAATGAAATTTGGCCAACGAGTGTCTTACCTATAGTTTACAAAGTTCCACTGGCAGTAGTTTTTTTACTTGATTGGATTTATTTTTCTCAAAAACTTCTCTGGCGTATTTTTTGACTACTGTGTTCAGTATTGGGTTCCTTACTTTAGAAAGGACATTGAATTGTTGGAAAGGGTTCAGCGGAGGGATACGAGGGAATGGAAAAGTTGTCATACGAAGATAGGTTAAGATATTTGAACTTGTTTTCTCTTGAAAAAAGATATTAGAGAGGATCCGGTTGAGGTATTTAAGAATTTGTAGATTTTATGCATCATCTTTTATTAGTATTTAATGGTGAGAATGGCAAGGCTAAGGGACATAAATATACATTTTGACAGGATAGGCGTTACCTTCAGCTAAGACAGCTTTATTTTTCTAACAGGGTGGTTGGACTTTGGAATGTGTCGCCTTCAAATGTAGTAGTTACAACTAATTTAAAGGAGTTTAAGGAAAGTTTGATAAATATTTGAATGTTTTTAGTGTTTAGTATAATTTAGTGGATAGGATGACCTAGATAGACCAAACGGTCCCATTCTGCCCTCTAATGTTACGTTATACATCACGTGGTTTTTAGAGGACGGCTTCACCTATACAAAGAAAACAAATCTTGTTAGCATAGTGTTTGGTTGATGATACGTTTTGTTACTCCGTAAAACAGTTTTAGTTTCAGAATCAGCTACGTAAATCACTCAATACTGAATACAATTATTAGCGTTGTTTTTTTTTTCATTAATTCATTAAAGTTAAAAACAAAAGTATTAATGATTTTTTTATCCGTTGACAGACTTCTTTGGCATATTAGGAGTTTTGTATCGCTACTTAAATAGTATTTTGTCATTTCTTTTCGTTTCCTCTTTATTTCCTTTGGAGGTTTCTTAATGAATTTGATGAAGCTCTTTCGTTCTTACATTATATATATATATTTTTTTGTGTGTGTGTGTGTTTATATTTTACGTCATCTAAACATGATAACCTTTAACCCAAATATTCCAGTCCAGGCTCGGCGTAGGTTAACATAGACGGCTACCTCGGGACCATCGCCGGCTCTTATTTACTCATTGAATACCGTTGCTCTCTAATTGCTCCACTCGTCATGCGGTTTGACTTACACCGTCAAATCAGAACTGTAGGCATAGATGAATTTGCATAAACCTTCCTTTCTTCCGGAAATTTATTTACAAAATGGAGGAACACGTTGCTGAAGTGATGAAATTTGTCGAAAACAAAAATCATTGTCAAACACGTGTGAGCAATATAAACATTTATTTAAACTTATTACATGCTCTATTTAACCTATTGTGAATATTTTCAAGCATAGCGCTAACTCCTCCGTTTTTTTGGTAAAACCAATTTAGAATTCATAGCGACTTCTTAGCATTTCTGGTTTAAAGAATTTTAAAATACAGTGTATTCAGGGGTTAATTAATAAAGCAATCGGAGAGCAGAGGAATATAAGGACTGGGTTATTCGGGGAAGGGTAACCTCACTCCCACAATTCCTCACCATTTCCTTTGACTTGCTATAGTTAAGCCTAAACAGTGTACTAACTCGGACGTTAGGCCTAACACCTGGTTCCCATCTTCTATAGAGAACAGCTCATGGTGGAACACAGCTTCGTGTGAATTCAAAGCCCTGTCACACTCATCTCTAGAAGGCCTCACCAGGAAGACTCAACAAGTCATTAAGACACTTTCTTAGACCCAGCCCACTCCCTGTTATTATAACCACTACACTTAAAAATATTCTTACTAAAACGTTTACCTCCAATGTCAGACGCGTAATGTCATTCTGATCAAAATATGCTTATGTTTTGTTATAGGGTTGTTTGCTCTTATTTAATATTATTATATTTTATAGTTTAAATAGTTTTTTTATGTTCATTTTGTTCGTTTTACTGTTATTGAAAGGGAATATTTGTTTTGCTTAAAAACATAAATTTTATTTTATTTATATTTTTCATCATGTCAGTGAGGAAATTCTGGATAGTTAACAAACATTGATATGTATATCATTTGTATTTTATTGGAAAGTTAACTTTTTAGGTTTTATATGTAACTTTAAAATGACAATCTGTTTTACTAATAAACAGTTTCAAGTGAAATTTTATCGAACTATGTAACATAAGATGAAATTAAGTATATTTATCAAAATATAATTTCAATGTGGAAAATAAAATGAGAATTAGTATCGTATTAGTGAGTGTCTGTAAGCCTAACGTTTTATAGAGTGAGAGATACGATTCGATTGTAACTTCTAAAGTATCATACTGCATATAAAAATAACGTCTTTGAGAAACTTTTATCTCTGTTATTTAAACTTAATTCAATAACATCGTATTAACGAATGCATTTAGCTTCATAGACGTAGTGTCTATTATATGTTTATGTGTAGGCCTAACGGTGATTGTCGGTTGTGAAGCCTACTTTCTACTCGTTAACGTGATTTTGTGGCTCATTTACACAGTGAAGTTTTTTTCAATTAAAACTTCAAACTGAAAAGAGTTGAATTCAAGCTATAATAGTATCTGTTTGCATTGAAACTAAATAATTGACAGTTATACTTGGAGGTAAGCTTGGTAATAGGTTATAAGATGCAATTGAAGTTAAGGTATTATTTTAGGCTAGAAAACTTGTTCATTATATGAGAATAATTGCAATGATTACCAATTTAAAACAATAGAATGTTGTATAATGGTAATTTATTCGTTTAAAAATTAGTTATAGTCATTTTCTTGTCATTTCTTTGTCTGTAAGCTACTGCTAGCAATGTTCACCTTGTTAAGATCTTGAATTATCTATACGTGATAATAATAATACGTGTATTTTTGATAATTTGAGCACTGAATAAAGAACTAAGGTTACTTCAGATTTTGGAAGAATTTGTCAACTAACTGAACTATATCCTTGTCTCGTGCTAATTAGAAGTTAAAACATTCATTACACAAAATAAAAAAGAAATAAAAATGTTGTGTCTGTGTTGCTCTGACATATTTTTTCTTCATATTACTACTACTACTAACTTGAATCTTTGTTACTTCTGATACCAGCTGATGTGTACGTTGCTTACAATATATCGCTCTCCTTAATCTTAACATAGCACTAATGTCTTAGATGTAGTGACACTTTTAGTGCCAGTTATTGTGTGGGCTGTTTAAACACTGTATCTTTTTCATAATTAAACGTTAAACCAGTTTAGATTCTTGATTTTTTTTTCACATTGCATGGGCTTCTCAGACATTGTATCACTCTCTATATTTAATGTTACACCAAGAACTTAGAACTTATGGCACTTTTGAAACTTACAACTTATACACTTTCACTGCACTTTTATGTAGCATTAATACATTTTAGAAGTCGTGGCACTACTGATAGCATTTATTGTTATGTCTCACTCACTCTATTGAACGTTTCTCGTAAATGTAATAAGAATACGAACACACTAGACGTTTCTGAGTGGAGAGTATGGGGAAAAAGTTTGTTTCAATATAACCATGAAACGAAGTTCCAAAATAGGCACTGGATATAGTGTGGTTGGCATATTATTACGTATTCTTTGGTTTCACTGTAGGTATTTCCACTAGCAACTATTTTCTGAAGCCTCTAAATGGAAGTTTGTCAAAAATGTTATTCAAAAGTGCACACACACACACACGTAAACACAGTTTTATATTCAAAATTATGTATACATGAAACTTAAACAATTAGAAATGTTATACACTGCTGAAAGGTTGTGGCGGACTGTTCCCTTGCGGTTTATCGGTAAGTTTACGGACTTACGTTGCAAAAATCCCAGGTTCAATTTCTCACGCTGGACGGAGCGCAGATAGCTCGTTGTGTAACTTTGCGCTAAAACAGACATATTGACGTCAAATAAAATAAATTACATACGATTTTCACTATCCCGAAAATATTGTTACGGCTCCGTTTGTTAATTAACTTT